ATACCTGCTATGCAGTTACGGCCCCTGATCCACAGTGTAACAGGAGCACAGTACCATGAATCCAAACACCACAAACCATTCTGCCACTTTTATCAGAAGTCACTTAATATTTCAGTATCTGATACTTCTTTCTTTCTCTCCAAACCCACCTGAGAAATCATCTTAACTACAGAGAGCCTTTATAACCACGTGGACCTTGGTGGGCGCTTCACAGAGAAATCTGTCCATTCATGAAAAGCGCAGGGCCAGCCAGACTCAGCCAGACCAGCCCTTCAGGGACACCCTGCTGTTTGACTTGGCTCAGGACTGGGCCTGGGTACAGGGCTACAGTTGTCTGTAGCTGCAGGCTGCAGAGCTGCAGGTATTTCCTGACTAAATTTTTTTGTCATACTGTTTGCAGTCATATTCGAAGGACGGCATGGGAACTTTAGAGAGAGAACGTGAGTAAAAACTCATTAGATGCCATAGTGGGAAGACACAAATACAACCATAAATGCAGTCACAATGTAATGTCTTTATTTCTATTTCAGATAATGAGCCTTGGTAAAAGCTAAAAGGAAATTAAAAACTCATAGGCTTCCTTTCCTTTAACCCAACTTCCATGTCTTATTATTTTGCTCTATATTTTTCGTTTAGGCCGTGACTTTATCTCAATGCACTAAACCCCATGAGTCTCATCTTTTCTCAATTTCCTCTGTTTTCCTTCTATGACGGCCCAGATGTTTCTCTTCTCTCTCTGCATTTAGTTTAGTTTAGCATACATATTCAGCAAAGACGTCTGCTCATAACAGGCCATCATTCCAAGAAAGTGTTTCACCATTATGTTAATGTTTATAGACACTTAGAAACAGGCAGATTTCAGGCCCTGTACACACCTGCAAGCACACACACACACATACATACACAGAAAAATAGTTGAGTGATGTCTTTGTACCATTTCCCGGCTGTATTCTCTGTGCTGTTCCTTGTCACTTTGGCCCCTTTCAAATGATCAGCTGGGATCAATGAATGTAATTTTCACACATTAACTTCCACCTATTCATACATAATGGGACAAACCACAACAGTGTTTAACCAGTGCATCTGTCCATTGGATGTCATCTTAAGTCACAGCATGGGTTGATTATTGTTCCTGTGTAGTTCTTTTCCTTTCCTTTTACCCTCCCTTCTGCGATGAGTAATTCCACCACATCAAGTACAGTTTAGAAATAGACGGCCGTCCCAGCAAACTCTTCACGCCTGATAAATCATCTTTAAACTCAGTTGCTGAAGAGCAATTTAAAGCTCATTCAGACACTTAAACCTCGGCGAGATCTGCCTTTAAATTTGAATATTATTGGTCATGTTTGTCTCATATTTCTCCGTCTCTGTGAATGAGAATATACTTTGATCATTTGCCCTGCATAGCCTCTGTTCCCCCACTCTCTCTTCCTCTCTCTCTTTAAACCCGGACTACCACACTTTGTCTCTCCTTGTGTCTTTTGCTCTCTCCCTCTTCTCCGCGGCTGTCTCTGCTTCTGATTTAAACGCGCAGCAGGGGGTTGTGGGTAGAGACTCACGCTGCGAGGGATCTCTCTGACTCAGGGAGAGCTGAAGGTCAAACACACTTATGATCAGAACCACAGGATGACACTGAAGAGGTGGAATACAAAGAGCACAGGGAGGAAAGCCACAAGAGATAAGTTCTGTTCTCTCAGCAGTGTTTGCAGTGTAGACAGTTCATCCTGTACACACTGCACTGTACAGCTGGTCTTAAAGCTTCTACGACATGCACACATAAACATATACATTACCTGATAACAGCCAAAAGCCATATAGAGTGAGAGCTTCTTATAGCCTCTGTTAAGAATATTTAAAAACTTTATAACTGTGGAGGTAAGAACCACGCTGTCATCTTCACAACTTAATTTTTGTTTTGTCTGCCTGCTTTGTGTTCCTCTCTGTCTTCTTAATTAGACAGACCCTTGACTGACAAAGCAAACAGAACAAGAACAAGAGCATGAACAAGAGAAAATCATCTGTTTCTTTGAATGGAAAACTCCTGGAGCCCAGATGAAGGTTTTTCCCTTTTTCTCCTCCGCAATTTTTGTTGGAAGCATTTGCATATTTCAAAAGTCTACCAAAGAAAATAGCCCGGGGGCAGAAATGGCCGATCTGCATATTGAAGACTCAACAGAGGGCGAAGAGTGGGAGACACAGAGAGAGAGAGAGAGAGTCTCCATGTAAATGATTTGAAGATGATCTAAAAGAAACAATAGTGTCAATTAGCTGATGGTGTCATGCTTATTATGCTGGATTAATTGCAGTATTCACTTCAACTCAAACAGATTATTTGCTTTGTTGTCAAGCAGTTTTATGGAGAGAAAGAGAGAGAGAGAGAGGGAGAGCAGAGAGAAAAATGTGCATCATAAGAAGGCCTCTTCACCCAGCTTCCTTCATGAATAACAAATAGAGGACCCAGTGCTGTGACCAGCCAGCACAACACATGAAAAACATTACTGCATTCCCCGACTCGTCTGGTTTTCTCTACATTGTGCTGGTAGGCTGAAAACGTGAAACACTGTGGAGCTTTTGTACAGCTTTTATTTTTTAAACTGTGTTTTACTGAATACGGATCATCAATAAACAGGTTTTTATAGACTGTGGAATAAATAATGTTGTGTATTTTCTGTTTGTACGGCGTAAACAGCTTTATTAATGATTAATAAACCATTTACTAATGCTTAATAGATCAGTTAAAGCCATTAATAACGTTTGGGTTGCCAGTCTGAAAAATCCTTCCTCATGCACGACACTTACACATTTATAAATGATAATTAGTTATTAATAAAGGATTATTACAATAATCAGCAGGCAGTTGTGAATGTGAAGTTTATAAATTGGAACTAATAGTATAATATGTAGATATTTTGTTGATGAGTGTGATTATATAGTAGGATCAATGGGCTCAATCAGGAGCTGCTGGAGGCGCTCGAGACTGTAAAATCTTTACTTTAAAAACAACGACTGTGATATGTAGTGATATATTATTTGTGGTAAAATAGGATATAGATTCCTGGACATACTTAATATTGATAATTCGGTCATATAATTTTTGATTATATTACTAATTCTTAAAAGCACTTATACACTAAAACTAACAACAAAACAACACATTTTAAGGGTTTCAGGTAGAAAAATACTTTTTTACTTTTGTGATGCTTAAAAACTTGCTTTGTCTTTTTTGGCAGCTCACTGGAAAAACCCTTATAAAGGACAGTTTGACCACTGACCATCTGAAAAAGCTGCAGAGCATCTGGACCAAAGTCTGTTTATGAAGTTATTGACATTTACAACTGCAGATTTTAGTAAGACCCTTTATCAATGACATGTTAAGATTCATACATGTTATGTAGGAGAAGAGTACACCAGCTGAGGAGATATTTCACAGCCTTTGAACTTACATTATTTTATTATTAATGGTTAAAAATGATCTGTAAAGCGTCAGTAAAATGATTATTAAACATTAATAAAACCAAAAGCCAATCAACTTTTAAAGTTTTAAACTATTAATTATTGTGCCATTTCAAATTTTCAAAGGCAAAGCAATTAAATTAAAGATATCACATCACTGCAAATGCTATATTTTGTTGTGTTATTCACTGTGATGATACCTTTAGTTGAGCTGTGTTGTATGATGAACCCCTGACTGCCATCCTGTTCACCCCTAAAAGGTTGTTGGACTCTAGAAGGGAAGTTGCAGAACACCCTGACCGGTGTCCATTATGATTTTTGTAAATTATACCTTGGGATATTAAACAGTTAAACAAAAGCAAAATGATTAATTTTAAAATACATCAGCTGTTTATTGAGAGTGATCCTGAATCTGCTTTGTGACCTTTTAGTACTTTAATGCATTTTAATTTCCCCTACAGAACTCTACAACATCCTAATAATAATACACAATAGGACATGCACCTATATACTTCATCATAGACCAGCACATTTATATTGATACAAAATAATATTACTTTTAGAACATAACTGAACATAATGCTGGTAGATTGTGTGGATTTAAATGTCATGGTAAAAGTTGTGTTGCAGGTTGGGCAATTATGTCTATACCTTTTGGATGAGATCCAAGACAAATCCGCTGAAAAACATAAATTAGCACATTTATTGGGCTGCACCTGGCTCTCTTCTCTGATCACAAAACTTCATGCGTCCCAGTCACGATTTGCTCTCTGAAGGCCCTTAAATCCTAGGCGAACCCGAGATAGAAAAGTCCCCATGACACCTTTAGACCCTCCATAAACTGACCCAGCATGGAAACATCTCAGCAGAACCGGTTTGTTTTTGAGGATGTAAAAATCTAAACTCTTTGTGCAGCTTTAGCGCTGCGGGTCACACCGCCGTGGCTTACCTTTACCATATGAAAAGGGGGAGCGCATTAGGATGCAAAAGGCGTATAAAGACCCTACCGAAGCCGACTTGAGTATCCTTGACAAAGGCCTCGCTGCTCTGCGTCTCAAGAAAAGAGATACCATATAGGCTACATATATACGACTTTATTTTGTCCACTCTGGCATGACTCACTTCATTGGCTTTATAACCTGAGAGTTGGTTAAAGACTAATAATAATAATAATAATAATAATAATAATAATAACACAGCATTTCTTTATGTTTGATAAAGTTTGGTTTTGGCACAGGATTTCTTATTCCGTTTATTCAGATAATTCATCAATACTTTGCGCGTCCTTAAAGACACAGCCGGACTTTCCTGTGTCTTCCTCTTATTGTAACATTTTCTAGCATATTGTTGCGTGTTTCCCCTGTAGCAACAACTTTGTGCACCCGAGGCTCTGAGACACACAACTCCTCTCTGGCTGTGCGTCCAATCAGCGGGAGCTCCGCGGAGCCTTTCTGTTGTAATTGGATGGAGATGGGAGAGGAATACGCAGCCTTGGCACAACGTAAACACATGCTCGTCTCCTTCGCTCCGTAGAGGACGGACCGGATAGAGCAGATGGAGTGAGCGAAACTACCGAGAGGACCAGAGAGGCTTTTAACTGTGTGTCTCTGTCATTAACTCGCTTTAAAACCTTAATATCAGAGAACCGGGTTACACGAGAGCGGTCCAACAGTTCCTCATCTTGGCACGGATCAAAGAAGGTGTTTTTCAGGTCTGTGGATTACGCACGGCGGAGCTCCCGGGACAGAGAAAAGTTTTGAAGATTTTAGTTTTGTCGCACAGGAATGCCAAGAAAGGTCTCAGCGCGCACAAGCTGCCATATAACTAAAATTATCATCTGAGTCTCTATGGAGTGATTTCGCACCTTTTTTTTTAACTTATCACTCAACGGTTTCACTCATGCTGATATAGACTTAAGTTATTCATGGATTAGAAGAAACTGGGACTTTAACAAAACATCTGACAAGTGAAACTTATCTTAAGGTATATGCTTTGGGGGATGGCAACAGCTACCTCGAGTCCATACCTAGCCAGCAGCAGGATTTTGTCCGGCCCGGTCCTTCACTCTGATCGGAGGGGTGGTGGCATGCAGCCGGGCAGCACTGCTATAACCACGGTGTCTAGTGGATACAGAGGGGATCCTTCAGTAAAGATGGTGCAGAGTGACTTCATGCAGGGTGCCATGGTGGCGAGCAACGGGGGCCACATGCTAAGCCATGCCCATCAGTGGGTGACATCGTTGCGAATGCAACGGTCAGCCAAGCGCGGCAGCAGCCGCAAGAGCGCGCCCGGGGTGGCAGCAGCCGGAGGCGGTTCTCCGTGGCGCCCCCAGCTTCCCAGCCGCAAGACGTGAAGAGAAACGCGCGGCAGGAAGACCTCCACTACAGGCGTCCGCTCTGCAGCCACAGGTCCCCGCCAACATCGTGGGGCCCCAAAATCCCAGGCGGCACGCGGAAGGCCTGGGGAGGGGCACCGCTGCCCCGCTCCAGCGCACCATCAGCATCACGCGGAGGGGGCAGCAGCAGCGCAGGCAGGCAGCAGGGCAGCAGCAGCAGCAGCAGCAACAATCCCTCATCTACTCGCAGCCTGGCGGGTTTACTGTCAACGGGATGCTCAGCTCGCACGCGGGGCAGAGCCTCATGCACCCGGGGTTGGTGCGCGGGGAGTCCCCGGAGCTGGACCATAGCAGCCACCATCATCACCATCACCACCATAATCACCACACGCACCATCACCAGCATCACGGGGTGAGCCACGAGTCGCAATCAGACGAGGACACCCCGACATCTGATGACTTGGAGCATTTCGCCAAACAGTTCAAACAGCGGCGGATCAAGCTGGGTTTCACACAGGCAGACGTGGGCTTAGCGCTGGGGACCCTGTACGGCAACGTGTTCTCACAGACCACCATCTGCAGGTTCGAAGCGCTTCAGCTGAGCTTTAAGAACATGTGCAAGCTGAAGCCTCTGCTGAACAAATGGCTGGAGGAGGCCGATTCCACGACCGGGAGCCCGACCAGCATCGATAAGATCGCCACCCAGGGCAGAAAGAGGAAAAAGCGCACGTCCATCGAGGTGAGCGTAAAAGGCGCGTTGGAGAGCCACTTCCTCAAGTGTCCCAAACCGTCCGCACAGGAGATCAACTCTCTGGCAGACACTCTGCAGCTGGAGAAGGAGGTGGTCAGGGTCTGGTTCTGCAACCGCAGGCAGAAAGAGAAGCGCATGACGCCGCCTGGACTGCCACGCACCCCGGAGGACGCATATTCACAGGTGGGCAGCATGGGTCCTGACACACCGTCCCCCTCCATAGACTGCAAGAGGATGTACAGCGACACGTGAAATCAACGGCAGACACGCAATCTGAACAACGTGAAGTGTTTGAGTAACTTTTTTGAGAAAATATTTCATGTTTCCCTAAATGATGGGTTAATTGATCAACTTTTCTTACAGCTCCCCGTGTTCTTTGATCCACAATAATATTGTTATCCAGTGTGTATTCATTTCAAAGCAGGATACATGTTTACTTTTATGCATCGCCGCGTTTTTCTGCACTATGATTCAACCTTTGGGCCACGAAAATGAACAGCCTGAACAAGTCTTGTTAAAGCCTATACAGAATGAAGATTTTGTCAATTTGATGCCAAGAAGTTCAGACAAAGAAAAAGTTATTTCGGTATCTCTGTAGTGTTAAAAATAAAATGTCTCTGCAGGTTTTGATGTCCCACAGGCTAGACTGGGCTGTAGACTCCGCTTCTTTAAAATGAAAGACATTGATTTAATGGGCTTTATTCAAGTTGTTTCTAATGAGCAATAATTTATCTTCCTTCAAACGTGTTTCTCACTTTTGTGTTGTGTGTCAGTGGATTTATGTTGTGACACAGTTTATGGTGGCCAAAGAGCGACTCGAAATAACTCCAGTATTGTGTTTTCCTTCACAGGAAACTTTTTTTAAATGCGCAAACATTCCCTTAAGTTTATATACGAGTAAGTCTGCTGTGTGTATTCTTGTGTGATGATTTGTACTATTTATTTTTTCCACTGTGTTTATTTTCATGGATAGACTAATTATTTAATAAATTTGACAAGATATCTGAGATGGCCATCATTATTACACACACACACAGAGAGACAGACAGACACACCCAACACCACCACACCACAAACACACACACACACCTTTCCAGTGAAACATTAAACATGCAGTGTGCTGCAGATATTGTTAAATAAACCAAAACGACAATTAAAATGGTCTTTCGTGAGAATCAAAGACACAACAAAGACATTATCCCATGAATTATATAAAGAAGTGACAAAGGCATAAAATTAAAGGCTCCCTGCTATTTTTTCCTGCAGGGCTTTCTTGTTAACAGCTAAAATGACTATTGATTAATCAAGATGAGAAATCGACCAGCTAATTGACAGATACCTTTGATAAGCAAAAAATGTGAGGATTTGATTGTTTTTCTTTGCCATATATGATACCAAAGGAAATATCTTTGAGTTTTTGGACTGTGCTCGAATGCAACAGGCTATTTTTATGCATCTTGAAATTATGACCGACATTGTCACTCTTTTTGTATCACAAAAATAATTGTCTGATTAATCAGTAATGACAATAATCATTATTTGCATCATTAAGTTATCACCATTTACACCAAAACAGTCACAACAGCATATCCCAGTTTGTATGCCTCCTAGTTGTGTTAACCCTGTTGAAACAGACTGAACTCACCACATAGGTCTGCTGTTGCAGTTTGCCTCTACATTTCTGTGTGATGTATTGCACATCAGTCCAGCCACATACATCCTGTGGCAGTGATATGGACTGCAGCTCTGTGGAACGCAGCCAACAGAGGTCGGCTATCCCAGCTGGCAGTTCACCTCGGCAGCGGTTGCCAAGGTGACAGCGAGATGGAGTGACACGAGGCACAGGATCTTTTGCCACAGATGATGGGTTTGGCAGTTAGGCGGCGAGAAGCTCAGGACGTTGGCTCTGAAAAACAATCTTCTCTCTGTCTCTGAAACGTGACGCACATGCAAGCACACACACACACACACACATACATGAGCTGATGTCCAAATCAAATATCTTATTGATAATAAAGCTGATGGGTCATGATCAAGGAAAAGCGATGGTTGTAGTGAAACTTAAAGGGAGGTCAAAGGTCTGCCGACAAACCTGAGAGAGAACACTGAGGAATAAATACAAACCTGGAAGTTAATGCATTACTGCGAATGTTACACGTTTGATTACAGTTTGTATGTGTTTTTTACTGGATATATTCCAAAAGCTTCCACATCGACACTGAGAAGAAATGGGGGAAGATATTTATGGAAACTCTATCACTCTTTATGTCATTCTTGATTAAATCGTTTTTTATAGATTTCAAAAATGCCAATACTAAATAAATCTTACCGTTAAAGCATTCAGGCACACAAATATGTCAAAAAGTGTGCAAGTTAAGTGTGTGTGTGTGTGTGTGTGTGTGAGTGTGTGTGACAGAGAGAGAGGTTTCACTGTACATTGGCAAGATCTAAAGGAAAGGAAAGTCTGGCCTTGTGGGTTATAAATAGCAGTCTGCCTGTATGAATGGGTCTTTACACATCAGCCAATACAACCTTCTTCACTCCAGGTCAATTTATTAATCCCTTAATAGACTGAAGGCAGACGAGTACATATGAAGAGGGCATGCTGATGGTACCTTACCTGCTTACGATGCCAGTACCTAGAGAAGCAGATATAATAGACACAAGAGAACCAATTTGTCAAAAGGCTTTGTTGTAAAAACCTTGTTAAAGTCAGTTTTTTTCTTTATCTTTGACTTCCTGAAAGATCTGAGAAGATTGTGCTGTTATTGGGCAGATAAAACCCTGTTAAATTCATTTGGGCTAACACAAGAATGCATGTTAAAAAATAAAGCTCAGCTTCAGACAAGTTGAAACAATGTTTTTATCGCTATGGAGGAGTGCCGTACTGAGCTGGTGAGCATCAAGTCACTTGAATGTAAAACAGCTAAAATACCGCATTCTGTCATGAAAACCAATCTCAGTCTACATGTTGAACACTGTTAATGCAAATGAAAAAAAACCATGCATTCTCTCAGCTCCACAGTAATACTACACCGGCTCACTGTAACATCTCCTGATGCCTCTTAATATGATGTATTCCCACCGAGCTGCAAAAGTTCTCTGATAAAAAATGGAGGCAAAATCTAAGCCTGCAGGATTTCGGTGTGATCCCCTCAAAGCTTAGCGATGTAAAGATGGGAGATAAGGATGGAATTGGGGGATAAAAAGCCTTTTAAAGGGTTTTGTCATGACACATCACTAGGTGTCTTCTCTGAATATTAATGCTGGAGGTACAAGCTGATGATGTTACAGTAACTTGAGCCCAAAACCCCTCAATCAACAGCTCACATGAAGTGCGTCTGTACTGACAGCAAAATGTGTAGTCAGTGCTCGTGTATAAATGGATACTTAAATTTAGCATTATTCATCACTGGAGTTATGCTTCTTGCATCACTAAAACAGGGAATGTTTGCACTTACACACTAAGGATGTTATTACTGCCTCCAATAAAAACTGCTAATATAATTGCTCATAATTGCTCTTAAAGCGTTGTTCAGAAGTACTTTACACAAAGCAATTATTTCATGATAATCCTCTCTTCAATGCTTGTTGTTTGTACCTCACAACAGACGCAAGCCTGCACATTTTCAAAGAATTATTTAACAGAAGCCGAAGTTTTAATGTACAACTATTTTACCGTGGGTTGCACATTATCAGCCCCCACTGTTTGGTGTTAATTATTTTCACATCGCGGAGATTGGTTAACCACTAAAGTCTAACACTGATTAACACACAGTGGCTTACTCTGTGTGAAAACTCATGACACACGATTCTTTCCTGGAGGCAGAGGCATGAATAAAAGACCCAAAAAGTACATATTAGGTGGCTGTAATGTTGATTTATTTCTGTGTGAATGTATTCCACACAAACATTGTACAAGACTCCAATATTGTTACTTGTGTGGGTTTTCTCCTCTCCTCTGAATATTAGTGGTGAACATTTTTTTCACTTTGCCTGGCTGTGTTTGCTTTTTTGGTGAATGATGGAGTACCAAAGTCTCTCCATCAGGAAGAAATTAAAGCAAACATCTGTGGAATAATGGACAGGGAAATGAATTCTCTCACTAGCAAGCTTGTTGTGTGGGTGCCACTGAACGTGACGAGCATGCATGTGCCAGACCAGTGGAGTGGAACTCGTTTGATGGGCATGTTCAACACATGGGCACGATGCCAATTTAGACAAGCATGCCCATGAAAAGAGTCTCTGCCTGAATGCTAAGTGTGTGAATGTAACCGTGTGTTTGTGTGTGCTGTGTGTGAGGATTGGAATAAACAGTTTTATTATATAAAATCTAAATTAATTACAATTGAATGTGTGTAGATGTTATTCTGCACATCTGAACCCACTATCATTGTGACTATCACTGATATGTGATATACCTCCTCCCCGTAATACAATATAATTTTACCATTATATCAAGTCAAATCTGTTGCTGTTAAATGATCATAAACATGTGATGAAAAACAGGTGCTGCAACTTTAAATACATCTGAATAAAAAAACGATTTATACCTATAAAAACCTAAAAATACCAACACAAAAATGTCTACAATACAAAAACTAAAGAGGAAATGTTTGCGTGGTGCAATGCTGCCATCTCCTGGACAGAATAATTAATGCACGTTTCTGAATGTTTACAGTGTAAGAAGTTCCTAAAATAATCTTGCACAACATTGAAATATTTTCAATGTGAGATATTGGAATAATGAAATATGACATGTTATTCTTACGGATGTATGGAAAATCTGAAATTCAGTCGTCTATAGGCTGCAATAAGAAAACCATTTAGGTTATTATTATTATTATTATTATTATTATTCGCTTTCTAGTGGCTGTGTTAGGTAGTTTGTTTGGAAATCAGATTTGATAGTGAGGTGTGGGCAGTTGCGCAGTAGCTATGAGTTTTTACAATGCAGATATTTTGGCATCTTGGCATAAAAAAACGTACCATCAAATTGCATACCATTTACTCATTATTTATATACAGGTAGAATTATTACAGTGGCCTACTTGGAGCACCGCAGCCTTTTTAAAATATCTCAGCTTCTAAATAAACGTATTTTGCGCATTGCTCCTTTAAATCAGTGACCACCTGCTCTTCTGGCGTCAGCATCATCCGCAGGCGGCACGATGGCGATCGATACGGCAGTGAAATGTTCAAAGTGGGATATTTTAGGAAAAGCTCGACATGCACAGGATGAGAAACACGATCACTGAGGAGACCAACTCGACGAGAGTGAAAGCTGATATTAAATGTAACGGAAAGGTAGGACTGTTTCTGTCTGCTCAATGCTCAAAGATACGTTGCTTTATTGCTTTAATCCCTTACTCCCTGCTCAGGAAAACAGGTATTTGATCTTTGATGCCTATAATGTATGTATGTATTATCTTTGCATAGACTTGTTGTCCTCTAGCAGTGGTGCAGGCAGGTTGACAGAGAAGCCTGAGATTGACAGACAGGTGCGGGAGAGAAACAGACTCGTATGGAAACGGGAGAACACGCTGTACAGGCTCAGTGGTGGAGGCTGGGTGTAAGCGATGGATCATCAATACAGCGGGGAATAGGTTATGGTATCACAACACATCAGCCTGCATCCAGAGCGGGTATTTCTACATAAACATCTGGATACTGTTTCTCATCCAGTCTATCATGAAAACGACCAAATGGAGAGAGAGGCCTATTTCAGTTGATCTTCCTCATAAGATACTTTTTTTTTTTTAGATATTCTCCTGCTGTAATGTTTCTCGATTTTTTTTACATTCTCAGTCTCTTGTCAGCCATTTGAGCAGAGCAGCAGAGTAAAACCACCTGTTTTTTGTTTTTTTTAAGTAAGCAGCTAGGAGCCCCCTGCAGGGCAAGTCAGCTCATTGTCTTCCTCACATAATCTGCACCTCATCATTTCTAAAGGTGGATGTGTTTAAGTTTAAAAGCATTTTATTACCTACTAGTTTAGTTTTATTCTCATGTAGGCGACATGAACCATTCACCTCCTCAAGCCTAGTTTCTCCCAGCTGATTTATTTCCTACATTTGACTTAATAAATGCCTTTATTGATTTATTGATCATACCAAAAGATAATGTAATGAAACAAGACCGCAGACATGAGTTCTCCTGTGTTCATGTCTGACAGTGAAACATCTTTGCTCTGTTTCACCAAAACAATTCTCTGAGTTTAATTGCTAACAGAAAGTCCTCAGTTGAAGACACGTGACACAGAAAACATTCAGTCATGGCAGACTACAGGATGCTTGTTGCCTTGAAACTGGTGACCTTGTTGCCATGGCAACAGCCAGCAACACTATGCAGTGGCCTAGAAGGGGTTTTGTGCAACAATGTAGCAACAATCAGGTCATTTCCTTTTACCTGTTTGTTTAGTGCGGGTTAATGTGAACATCTGACAGTGACAGAGACTCACAGTCACTGAATCCATCACAGAATACATTTTGACATGTCACAGCTGGAAAAACACAGGTGGTAAATAATACAATACATAATTAAAATGGCTGAATTACATTTAGCTGCTGTTGCAGGGTCCTGGTATTGTACATGCTGGCTCAGTGTCAGCTTCTGGACTAATCCATTGATCATGTTATCAGTAGCATTTACTACTCTGACAAGTCAAAAACACATGGAGGTTATGACCCTTAACTGGTCTTCTTATCTTCCAGTGCCAGTCCACCTGAGAGGACCACACCTGAGACCTGAAGGCCAGAATGACCTCAACACATCGTTAACGCCTGCACTGTCCCACCAGCAGGAGCAGGAGGTGGAAACCATAGCAACAGACATGTTGTGTGTGTGTGTGTGTGAGGATGCCTCTCTGTTTTATTAACGTTGCACCAGAGTCTGAGGCGGTACCCAAGAATGAGCTTCAGCAAAGTCGATGGAAGACAGACAACTGTGCCACGGGTGTGTACTATACTCGTGTTGTGTAAATGTGTGTATTTCTATTCACATGTGAAACATTACACATGCTGTGTGTGTTGGCGGTGTGAATGTTTGTATATGTGCCCATGTGAATCTGTGCAGCTCAGCTGTTAATCATCAACCTCATTCTCTGTCCTGTGTGACTATATCTCTCGATATGGTGTGTCTGTGGGTTGGTCCCATGGGTTATATAACTGTCAGCATCATCGGGACGTCATTCTTCCTCTCACTGTTTCAAATTTACAATTATCACTGAGTAATAGATCACGGAGCAGCTGAACTCCTTTGATTATCTAATGAGACACATGTTTACAGCAGCTTTTTAAGGGACAGACAGCACATAATGTAATGCACTGTTCACATTCATTAAAATCATGGATCGCACACCTTATCAGGTTTAAAGTTTTGTGGATCTTGACTGTAAGTGTACTTATTTGGGTTCCACTAAATACTTTATAAAAGGCTGAATGTGGATGATTTTGTCTTTCCATCTCAGATATTGCCATGGAAGACGAACTGCTGGAAGACGACTTGATGTGTAGACCACAACAATAATTAAACATGTATCTTCTTATGGGCTGATATCCACTGACAGTAGCTGCCATGGCTTTCTGTAATGAAAGCCTGCTGGAGGACTGTGCCTTCATGGAGGCGGACAAGGTGGAGGAAGCAGCAGAAAGTCTCCCGTCTGAAGGCGCGACTCCTGTCATATCGGTCACTCTGCGTGTGACCCTGGCAGCCATAATGATCTTCATGATTACTATTGGTTTCCTTGGCAATGCGATAGTGTGTCTGATAGTTTACCAGAAACCTGCAATGCGTTCTGCTATCAATCTCCTCCTCGCCACGTTGGCCTTTTCGGACATAATGCTCTCTCTGCTCTGTATGCCCTTCACTGCGGTCACTGTGGCCACTGCTGACTGGAGCTTTGGAAGCGGGTTCTGCCGAGCGTCCATCATGCTGTACTGGCTGTTTGTCCTGGAGGGTGTGTCCATACTCCTCATAATCAGTGTGGACCGTTTCCTCATCATTGTGCAGCGGCAGGACAAGTTGACCCCACACAGAGCTAAACTGTTGATCGCAGGTTCGTGGGTGCTGAGCCTGTGCGTGTCTCTACCATCTGTAGTTGGGTGGAGGACAGGTGCGGCAGGTATTGGGGGTGCCTGGGCGCCGCAGTGCGTGCTGGGATACAGTGACTCTCTGGCAGACCGCGGATACACAGTGCTGTTGGCAGTAGCAGTATTCTTTGTGCCATTTGCTGTCATGCTGTACTCGTACATGTGCATCCTCAACACGGTGCGCCGCAACACCCTGCGCATCCACAACCACACCAGTGAGCATTCCTGCCTGCCAGCCCTCAACCAAGTCAGCAAAATGAGACTTACAGGGCTGCAGCGGCCCCCTCAGATCAAGGTGGACATGAGCTTCAAGACCAGAGCCTTTACCACCATCCTCATCCTCTTTGTCGGCTTCTCCGTGTGCTGGTTGCCGCACACGGTGGTCAGCTTGCTGGCCGTGTTTAGCCGGCAGTTCTACTACAGCTCGGTCTTCTACCCAGTCAGCATAGGTGCTCTGTGGCTCAGCTACCTGAAGACGGTGTTCAACCCTGTCATCTACTGCTGGAGGATCCGAAAGTTCAGGGAGGCCTGTCAGGAGTTCATTCCCAAGAGCTGCAGACTGTGTCCCAGAGTGCCGGGCAGGAGCCGCAGGAGAGTGAGGCCCAGCAACATCTATGTGTGCAGCGAGACCCAGTCAGCTGTGTAAAACAAGACCAGTTGGCTATCAGCTGTTTTTAACTCTTACTTTTTCTCATAGTAAGCTATAAGAGGCTACTAAAGTTAATCTTAAAATAATATACTGGATGTTGACAAAATAATTTCACCACAAGAATAAACTTTAAATCTCAACTTTTAAGCCAACATAGATGAGAAGATTTGAACATTGACAGTTCTGTGACAAATGGCCGACTCCCATCTGCTGAGGAAGGTCGTGTGATACAATCGAGAGCTCCAGAATAAGCTACCGAATGGACCTTGTGGTGAGATTATTTTGGCTGCTTCATCCAAGATCAACAAAGAACTTTCAGTCTCAAGATATACTGGTTGATTTGACTTCATGGACATTATGGTTTTTGAAACTAATTCAAATAACATCTTATCCTCCATTGTCCATTTTCTTCTCTGTTTCATCATTTGTCCCTGAAGTGTTTCATCTGTGTCACTGTTTCTTCAGACAGACTCAATCTTCAGTCTTTGAGTGGTAGTGGTGATAATACTTTTGTCTGTTATGTGAGTTTCACAAAAAATGCAAACACGGTATTAATGTTCAGTGATGTTCTCAGAGGAAAGTCTGTAAAAACAGATTTTAAATGAGGTGTGTGCTGAAACACAATTTTACGTAAGTTATTTAAAACCCTGAGTGTGTTAACAAAGAGGTGTGTCAGTTATCGAGATGTGAATGTTTACTTGATTGTATTATTGTGTCACGATAACCAAACCAGGTAAATAAATATAGTTTTTTGAAGGAGGGTGCATTGACAAACTGAAGTGCTCGGATGAAAAACGCTTTCTAGCCAGCTGCTTTTACAATGTACATAAACCACATCGGTACATAATGGAAATCGTTTCGGGTTGCTGGGATACCAAAGACATCTATTCACTGTGAGTGGATGTGTATATATATATATATATATATATATATACTTCACTAAAGACAACACCCACAGCAGTTTGTGTATTGAATCAGATTATATAATCCCACAAAAAATGTAACGCTTATGCTAAATGAACAAATGAAGTGAAAGAACTGTGTGTAGCATTTTAAATATGTGTGGGATTATGATATTGATAAATTATTACTGCATTCATTTTGAGATATTTGTATTAATGATATATAGCTGGAAGCCCATCATTAACAACACATGCAGCCTCAGCCAGCCAAATAGAGGTTGTATTTCTCTACGGCACAAAACAGGAAGATGGTGCTGTTCTTTCATTGCAAATTAGGTTAGCCCCACTTCCTACTGAATTATCTGACTTATTCATTTTATTTGAACCACAGAACGAATCAGAGATGCTGGCTGTGACCTACAGGTCTGCAGCTATAGGTTGATGAACTCTAGTAACAGTAACATGGGGTGGATGGGAAATGTGGTCTTAATTTTAGTTTATGTTGATTAACAGAGCTTGTTCAATTGATAGCTTTCAGTGGCTATTTTTCCCAATCCCAATTGATAAAAAATGCCCATCTAAAATGTACTAAAGCCCTGGTTGTTGGACCAACCGTCCCAAAACCAAAGATCTGGGATTTACTATCACATAAGACAAAAACAGCAACAAATCCTCGTTGTTGAGATGCATGAAAATTATAATGTTTGGAGTTATTGCTTGAAAAATGGCTGCTGATCAAATCATGCAATCATTTCAGCTCTAATACTCATATCAGTGTTTTAAAACACTGCAGCTAGTACTTACAGCTCAAACTCACATGATCCCGGGGAAGATATAATTTATTAAATTTAATCATTTGCTGTGTACTAACATTTTTTCTAACTTCTGAACTTCTGAACCACAGGGAAAGAAACATAAAAGGTGTTGTAATTTACAGTACATGTAAGTCACTTATTGTGGAATCTTTAATGTGTAAGGTCAGAAAGGAAGCAGTTTTCAACCACACATATCAACATTACATTTACACACTTAATTTAAAGGGAAACTTGTAAGTAGCAGGAAACTACTGAGAATCACTTTCCTATTGCAGAAGCTAAAGTAAATGTTTTCTTCCACACGTAATGATGCATTTCAATAATAATTGAACAAAAGCATGAACTTAGGTCCTATGCATCATGTGCCAACATGTAGGAACTAATGCATGGTCTCTCTGTTTTTAATTTAGATCTCATGGTTGCTTCTACATCACGTTACCGTCCTAACTTAATCACTCCATTTAGAGAGGGATCTAACCATTCCATGTAATTTACAGTAACCACATAGGTACATAAAGAAGAACAGCACGAGATGTTTGCTCCGATCTGGTCTGCAACATAAACTCTTCTGATGCTGCAATCAACAGGGTCAAACCAGTTTAAGCTCAGGGACATGGTATTGTTTTAAAAACACTTGAACATTGATTTGGAAACGCAGAACACTGGCCTGATGTGCCACAGCTGAGTTACATTGATTTGCAGGTGTGAATACATGATTGTAGGACTGTAAAAAAAAAAAAAAAAAATTAGGTGTTGATATTATTATTTAATAAACAATGTGTTCTCAGTTTTCTCCTATGAGAGGGATACAGTGTCAGTGTTTGGCAGCCAGCTCATGCAGAGGAGCTCATGCATGCTACCTGTAAGATAACACTTCCATGTTTTGGGGCCAACTGAAAGTTTTGGACTTCTGATTGAAGATGTTTTGCCATGCACCTGAAAGGCCTCTTTAGGTTTAAAGATTTTAATGGTTGTGATGAATAATACAGCTATTTATCTCCATGAGGTGGCAACGCCCACCAGTAGGACCAGTGGCTAAATCAGCACATGACTGTAAACAGGAAGTTTACCGTCACTAACGGGACATGAGTGAGACATAGGATAGAGACACATGATTGATTAAAAAAAAAAAAAAAAA